AAATACATTAGTTGGTGCATCCTTTATAGATTTTGGTATTTTATTATAGATTTTTGGTGCCATACATAATATACTATCGTGCATAAGTTTTGTACTAGATTTTTTTAGATATAACTTATCATTATCACGTCGATTGCGTTTAACAATTTCTGAAAGTCGTGGAAATAAATTCTTATTAGTTTTAACAAATACACACACTTCAAATATGTACAATGAAGGTACTGTCAATATATTATATTGTTTGAAATACGGCATACAACTATCAGTATTTTTAAGATTAAACATGGCTCTTATGCACCTTTTTTGAGCTTTAAATACAAATTCTTTCTTCGTTGAATTGCCCCAAAATATTATGCCATACCGTAAATTTGAAGCAGTAATACCATGATACGCTGTAATGAGCGCTGATTCATTTACAACAATTATTTAAAGCATAAGCCGAAGAACTCAATTTCTTGGATAATTCATCTATATGATCTTTCCAGTTTAATTTATTGTCTATTATAATACCTAGGAATTTTGTATTCTCTACAATTTTAATATCACTATTAAGGTAACAAGCACCAATAGTATTTAAAGAAGTCCTTTGACTGAAATGCATTATATGTGTTTTATTAATATTTATTTTTAGATTATTATTATTCAACCATTTAACTATATTCTTCAAAGCTTGGTTTACATCATTTTCATAATCAATATATATTGTTTTTGTATAGTGACATAGGTTGCTTTGTTATAGATAATTTATATATATAATAAACAACAATGGACCCATTTGGGGAACACCAACACAGAAATATAATTTTCTTCAAGTTTGGTTCTATTATTTATTTTATTATTTGAGTACATTGTTTCTGTCAGTAAGGTAAGACTTTGAATTTAAAACATTACCCCTGATTCCATATACATATAATTTTTGAAGTAAAATATTACGTAATCAAAAGCTTGAGTCATATCACAGTAAATGGAGCAAACCGGTGTACTTTTATCCATATTTGTCAAAACAGTGTACAAGAAATCATAAATTGCTAAGTTAATGTCTTTGTTGCGTCTAAATCCTATCTGATCTGATGTGAATAGATTTTGTTTTTCAAAGTACTCGTATATTTGTAAATATATGTATTTTTCAAAAATTTTTGAAAATGTTGTAGGTCCTTACAATATATTTTCTCCCACATACAGAGTAGTAAATGTACACAATGGTAACCCTACAATATATGGATAAAAGAAGTTAGATTGTTGTTATTAACCTGTAATTGTTAGAATTAAGTTTTCTGTATAGAAGATAAATGTGTGTATAAAAAAAAGTGCCACGAAATTGAACACTTTTCACGTTATTACTCTGTAAACGTTTATCTCGAGGTGAAACAATCAAATATATTTTGTATAGCAACTGATAAAAAATAAATACATAATTTAACACAAATAAAGTTCTGAACGTTCAAGGATTGAATCTAAAATTATAACAAATACGTGAGTACTTTCTTCTATAATATATAATATATATATATATATATATATATATATATATATATATATATATATATATATATATATATATATATATATATATATTAAAAAATATTTATTAGTGGTATGAGACCCTAAAATAACCTTACTACTAAGAGACATTAAATTTATCAACGATTACCTAACCTTTACAAATAAAAGTCATTTTTATCGTACCTATCTAACTTCGCAACTTTACAAAATAGCCAGGTCGTTAGGGGAAGCGGTTTTTTATGATCTCAGAATAGCGCTACAGTGACAAAAACATTTTTTTATTAGACTTTAGGGCAATATCGCACTATCTGAATTTTTTCTATTTTCATTATTCGTCTTTAATTTTTGTCATCATCATTTTTAGTACACATAGATTTTGCTACATAATTAGATGTAGCAAACACATATTTTTTAATGGTTTTCGGTCCTAAGCAGGCTTAAATTGTCATTTTTGGACTCTACTTTTATTGTGATTTCAGTACACGCAGACTTGATACATTCATTTTGTAAACTCTTCATAAATATAATAAATTTTGCGTTTGTCGCCTCGTGTTTGTAGGCGACGGTTATCACTTTCCATCAGGTGGACCATTAGCTTGTTTGCCATTCTAAGTTGCATATAAAAAAGAAAACACTGTTTCAAAATCGAATAATTTTATAATTTCCCTAAACAGATATGAAGCCCCTGAATCGACCCTACTGATGCAGAGTTACTTTCACATTATAGTAAATACAGATCTCTTCATAAAAGATTATACACTCTTCAGTCCTGAGGTCAAGTTATTAATCTTTTGAAGCTTACCAAATATACTTTCGACAATGGGCACGATGTGATCCTTTGCCCAAATAAGGGTTGCCCCTGCAGATTATAGCGTGAAGATATTACGTCAACATTGCAAGTAGGCATGGGCAATATGGATATCGATTCGATATCTATATATTGGGTTCCTTTAGACATTGATGGCGAAAAGGTTACCACCTATTTCGATATCGCCCATATTGGTCGGATATTGATTTTCCAATATGTTAAAAAAATTATCAAATATTATTTTTTGGATAACAGACTTTAGAGTAGACTTTAGTACAAAGTCTCCCTCACCAGAGAGAGACTGTACAAAAGTCGATTGCTTGGGTACCTCTGTCCCATTCATGTTTCAACCGTGAAGCAGTTATGTTTGCATGGCTGTGTTTCGATTTGAAGGGTGGGATATGGCGTGAATTTACTAGATACAGAGGAATAACACCTGAGTCCTCAGAAATGGAAACGCATGGGGGGTATCATGGGCGAAATCTGTTATGTCCATGGTACTGCTTATGTCTATAGGCGACGGTTACCACTTTCCGTCAGGTGGACCGTCAGCTTGTTTGCCATTCTAAGTTGTATAAAAAAAGAATATAAATGTTGTAACCAAAATATAAAGATATTGCTATATGTTACCCAGCCCTAATTGCAAGGGCTGTGTATTGTATGTAGCTACTTTTACTATTGTAGTACCTAATTATTATTATTGGGCTTCATTTAAATTTGCTAATATATAAGATACTAGTTTTTACTCGCGACTTCGTCTGCGTAATCAGAATATTTTTTTTAAGAAGTAGCCTATGTCCTGTTCCCGTTTAAACACTACGACGTGTGTTATGTTTCATGATGATTGGTAAAGCCAAACAGACTTACTATCTCATCTTCATGACATTGAACTGGATCTAATGTATTGTTATTGATTGGTTTTTTAACATGCTATTATAATTTTGTTATTATTGGTTGAATAAGTAGTTGGTGTTGTGTTAAGTCACTTATATGTATGTATTAAATGTAACATATCTTGTACCCAACAATAATTTTGCATGCTTTAGACTATAAGGCGAACATTTGTACCTCATAGTGGTTCAATGTCTGTAAAAACAATGTTCTGGCAAATAAACAAATCCAATCTAATCTATACTTATAAAATCATTTACCTTAGTTAATTTTAAACTTTTACGTTTACTGTTTAGACATATTTTAACTACACTATCGGGACTTAACGCGATGAAAATTTTTTGCAGGTAAACAGTACCTACATACCTGCTTCTTTAATGCCGACGTTTCGACGTGGATTGCACCACGACGTGGTCAAGCTGTCGTAACACGATGTTGCGATTGTCGCAATGAAAAATTCCTGTAAATTGTTCATCGCATTAAGTCCTGATAGTATATATTTTTTTTAATGGATGATAATGGAATGGCTGCCCTGCTTGCGTTTACGGTATAAGCTGGCGAGCCACCAGTGAGGGGTGATATGTGAGAATGGAAAGGCAGGTCAGTTAGCCCATCGTGATTAATTCACCTGGAATTTAGCACGATAGTTTCCAGGGGGGACCACGTGGGGGTCAACCTGACAGGGTATATTGCTAGCAATGGGACTGGTAGTCCGCATTACTAACAATCCCTCCCCCCCTGATAGTGCATTTAAAATATAATTTGTTCTGACTATCAACACACATACAAAGCTACTAAGTCTACAGAGCTGTCTTTTCGAACATAGGTTTATATTAGCATTCGCTAAAGAAGTATTTTTAAATACAACAACACACGTGCAAAGTCGTGGACCACAGCTAGTCATAATCTAAAAGTAACGATACCACGTGTGAAAAACCGCGAGCATTAGTTAGTTTGCAAAATTAGTATAGTAGTAGAATGGGCAGCGTCGTTCTCCCTAAAATATCTACAAAGATTAACTGCAGTCGCCAACCTGTCTGCCAAGTGTGGCGACAACTGACAAAACCTCCCTTATTGGGAGGCCTATGTTCAGCAGTGATATATGATAATGATCATTATTATAGTAGATAAAGAGAGATTTATGCAAAATCAAAGGTCTTAATGTGAAGATCGATACGGAGGCCATCTTTAGTTTTTCTAGTGTTAAGTAAAACAACTTATCATTATTTTTTAAAGTTTCTAAATGTGTATTTAAAACAATTGATAAGACAATTAATAACATGACATGATTGACATGATTTTAAACTGACTCATTTGTCAATGGAACTGGTATGACAATGATTTGTACGTTTGACCCCCTGTTCCTTGCTGTATTATAAGTACAAGCTTAGTAAAAAAAAACAGAGTATGTACATATATGTATTTATACATAATATGCACATTTTATATAGACAATTCCATATAAATTTGAAAATTTTATAGAATAAAAAATTTTAATCATTCATTCATTCCAAAAAACAAAATATATTTTATTAGATAAGTATATAAAATAAAATAAAGAATTATTTAATATTAGATTACTATCAGTTGATACTCTATTATAAATATTATTATTTATTTAAAAATCGAACGAATAATTTCCCGCCGAATTCAAACTTATCGATTTATTGCTCTCCTTTGAGACCGTTTTTGTGTGAACCGTATTATCTATTGAATAGAGTTCAAATTAGAGATCGCAAGTTTTTGTACTTAATATAAAAGAGTTTATTACAATTTACAAAGCTATTAAGGTACTTACCAGTATAGGTAATTGCACCATTGGTCTCTGAAACAAAATCAATAAATGGTATTTAATAAGAAGATATACTGTGTGGTGGACAACAATAAATGATTGATAATTTCTAAACGTGTATTGGCCTATTTTAAGATTATTTTCCAGAAAATGCGTAGCCTTCTGAAAAAGGTGCATGAGTATTCTTAGACATTTCTATGACTATAACTGAAAGCTCTGTTCCTGATCTTAATATGGGCACCGGACAATTCTAGTGTAGACACGCTCCCACCCGACTTAAAATATGCTTGTGTAACCGTGAAATGTACGGAAAAACTTACATATCCTAAGCCATAAGAAACAATATTAAATCAGTTCTAAAATATTAAAAACTGTCTTAACTTAAAAGTTTCAAATATTAAAAAAGTTGTTACTGGCACATTTGAGTTGATTATTCGAAATTCAAATTTTAATTTTGTTTAAATTAACAGTAATTTTGGAGACGAACTAATGAGTGGTCATAGATTAAGGATATTACCTGCGGTTTTTACGTGAATGGCTGAGAATGGCTAAGAGACGAACTACAGTGAAGTTGAATTAATTTAATGTTTAAGCGACTTTCAGAACAAGACAATTATAAAGTCTTTATTCATGAAATATCTATGCCAAATCAGAAACTTTGTATTATTTTTTGTAATGACTAGAGTTTATTTATAATCTTTTTATTGAAATCTGAAATTGCTATTTTTTGCATAGCAACTTGTTTATTTTTATCTAGCTTTGATCCGCGACGTCGTCCACGTAGCTGGGATATGTTTACTACCCGGGATAAAAAAGTAGCCTATGCCTTTCTCCATTCCATATAGTACTTGCATACCAATTTTTATAATGATTGACTAGCTGACCCCGCGAACTTCTTACCGCCTAACCACAGACAATTTGTGTTTGACTAATGTTATCGTCGTATAAATTATATTGAAAAATATTGATAACAATATTTATGCCCTCTCAGAACCTCTCCACTAACACTTGAACTTTATGGTATGGTATTAAAGTTCAAATCGACTTTTAATTATTAATAATTATTGTATTATTACAATTAGTTTGTATGCGAGTATAGAAAAGTGTCGTTTTTAGACTATTTCAGGCATTTTTTAAAAAAAAATTAAAAACATTCTTTCCGTAAGATCCATCCTCGTGCTTCAATAAATATTTTAAAAAATGAATTAGCGAAATCGGTTCAGCTGTTATCGAGATTTGCGCTTAGCAACATATTCAGCGATTCATTTTTATATTATAGATTAATTTGTTAAGACCTCAGTTATAACAAACCAACTCGCTTTCACATTTATAATATTACATAGTGGGGGAAGAGGGATTGTTAGTAATGGGGACTAATGTCCCCATTGCTGCTAGCAGTGGATCCATTAGTCCCGAGCCCTGTCAGGTCGACCTCCACGTGGTTCCCCCTGGAAACCATTGTGACTAATACTTGTTGCATCCGTCACGATGGGCTACCTGACCTGCTTTCATGCTCATCTATCATCCCTCACTGGTACGCCGCCAGTGTATACCGATAGCGTAGGCGGAGATACCATTTAATTATCATCCATAAAAAAAATATTACGTAGTTTGCGATAGTACTTTTTATAACAATATTTTTTTTTATACAACTTAGAATGGCACACAAGCTGACAGCCCACCTGATGGAAAGTGGTAACCGTCGCCTATAGACATGACCATTACCATGGACATAACAGAGTATACTGTTTCGCCCATGATATCCCCCATGCGTTGCCATTTCTGAGTACTCAGGTGTTATTCTCTGTACCCTGTAAATTCACGCCATATCCCACCCTTCAAACCCGAAACACAACCACGTTCCCTGGAAAACACAACTGCTTCGTCACGATAGAAACATCATCCACTGGTGCCCCGCCGGTGTATACCGAATGGGACAAATATATTTGTTTAATAGAGTAGTAATCATTGTAATGTAATGAATAAAAACAAATTTGTGTAAGTATATTTGTTATTTATATATATTTATTCGTTTATATATGTAATTTTAGTATGTATGTATATCAATAATTAGTAGTACCGCATTCGAGTATTCTGACACTTCCCTATGGTTGACTGGGAGAGAATGCTTTTAGTATTAAGTCCGCCATGTACACATATATGTACTAATGAATAAATGAATAAAGTCAATAAGAATAATAAAAAAAAAAAGTAATGATTACTTGCTCTATGGTAATCATTCAAGCAGTGCGAATCAACAGAATATTATTGATAGCCTTGGCAAATAATTATAGATAATATAAAATATGCCAAATAAATAATTTTTATTTATTTAATTCAATACATTACCTTGAACTGAGACACAATTACCCGAATGTGATCTTGTTATCGGTTAACGAGGGAGATAATTGAAGAGTATCTACGTAATATATGGGTAAACATCAAATGAAGTGTAAATTAAGTTATAAAACCTAAATTAGGTACAGGTAATAATTTTATATACTCCTTTTCAATAGTAATCATTTAAAAAAAAAAGTCAATCGATTGAATGTTTCGATTTATAACAAATTTCACTATTAATATATATTTTTTTAATGGATGACAATGTAATGGTAACCCCGCCCGCGCGGGGGGAAAGGGATTGTTAGTAATGGAGACTGAGAATCCCATTGCTAGCAATATACCCAAACTGGTCGACCTCCTCGCGGTTCCCCCTGGAAACTATCATGGTTAATTCCTGATGAATTCATCATGATGTGCTAACTGGCCTGTTTTCATTATCATCGATCACCCTTCACTAGTGCTCCGCCAGCGTATCCCGTTAGCGCAGGCGGGGTTACCATTCCGTTTTCACCCATCAATAAAAAAAAAAACCCCGCCCGCGCTATCGGTATACACCGACGAGGCACCAGTGGAAGATGATAGGTGAGAATGAATACAGGTCAGTTAGCCCACCATGATGAATTCGACAAGAATTAACCATGATGGTTTCCAGGGGGTTGAGGTCGGCCTGAGAGGGTACATTTCTAGCAATGGAGCTATTAGACCTCATTACTAACAATCCCTTCCCCCCCTCTACCACTATTAATATTAGTTTTATCTCGGTAATGAGGTCACAATCAGCCCGCCATAGACTGAGGTACCCCTCCATTCTCGTGAGTGTCGGAAGAGGCGACTAAGGGAATTTAATGGTCGAGGAATGGACAGCAGCGTCCCTTTTTTAAACGTCACCAAACAAATGGGACAGAGGTACCCAAGCAAATGACTTTTGTACAAAGTATATGATATGATATGAATATAGACTGCGGTGTTACAGCGTATGGAGGAATAACACCGTAAACCAGGAAAGGCAACGCATGAGAGATACTATAACGTCCTCAACACTGCCCATGCCTATACACGACAATTACTACTCTCTATCAGGTAGGCCATCAGCTTGACTGCAATTCTAAATTTCATAAAAAAAAAAAAAACAAAACAGAAAAAGACCTTATGTGATTAGTACTCACAGCCGTAAAAAAAAACACAAATTCAAAATGTTGCAATATTCAAATTCGATGACAGTTATCTGTCTTGTCACACATTGTCTATGTTTATAACAAATACTGGCATGTAAAACTTATTAACAGTAAAAAAAAAAAAATGTTTAGCAAATACGTGTGTACGTGTTGTTTACGCGAATTGTAGTGTTATATATTCATAATTTTTGTGTAACTACGTCAATCTTTGTTAATGGGTAATAATACTTATTTACATACAAAAATAGACTTGTATGTCACGACATGGAATAGGCTACCCCTTCTTTTCCCGTGGATGTCGTAACAGGGGACTTAGGAGGGCGAGCAAAGCCCCTCTTAAAACATCACCAAAACCCAAATTTTTATGGTCGAAGGATAGGTAGCAGCGTTCCTCCTGAAAGATCACTAAAAGCCTGACTGCGGTTGCTAACTCGGTTGCCAAGCGTGACAATTACTGGAAAAACCCCCGCAAAGGGGTTCAACAGTGGATAATTAACGTCTGGTACAAAAATATACAAATTAATTTGCAACTCCTAATTCCTAAAAGTAAACAAATTGGGTTCTTCAAAAAGGATTCAGTAAGGTTTCTTAAGGGTTGACAATGCGCACGTGACACTCCCGATATTGCAGTGTTACTACAGTAACCGTTTCCCAAACTAGTAAGATAATGTGTGCCACTTAAATAGGACGTCATATTTAAGTCATTTTATGATCGGTACAATGTTCGCAGAATATATACTAACTTTTATTTAAGATCAGTCATAGCTAAGACAACGATGGACGTCATGGCGATGTCATCTTTAGGTCTGTCAGGTACGTCTGTCCCTAGTTGTGATTAACTCTCCAACGACTTTTAGTACTGTGTCTTCTAATAATGTAAAGAGGAATGTTCCTCTATAAATTATCGGACATGTGTACATAATATAACTAATTGGCCAATCTCTTTTAATAATTCCTATGTGAAAAGTTTAAGCATCATTAGGCAGTCATGCAAGTTCACAAGTTAATTGCTAGCAATATATCCTGCTAGTTTAACCTCCACGTGGTATTTCCTAGAAGCCATCGTGCTGAATGCCTGGTATCACGTTAGGCCATCACGATAGGCTAACTGACCTGCCTTTTCATCCTCACCTATCACTGTTGCCCCGCCAGTGTATACCGTTATCGTGGACGGGGTTACCATTTCATTATCATCCATTAAAAAAATAGCAATACAGCTCGAAAAAATAACAATACATTTTACATTCATTCGCCTTAACGAATTGGAATTGTGAGTAGTATTTTTTTTTTTTATTTCTTATTGCATTCCATAATATAATTTGTAGATAACATTTCAATTATGGACCCTGTTGGGCACAGCGAGTTGGAGAGAATTACAATAAATAGGTAAGCACATAGGACACATGATACCCCGTAGGGGCACCATAATTTACGGAGAGAACCATCCACTCTTGATGACAGTTAAAATCACATAGTATTATTCAATTTAATTTATAATATTATATTATAAATAAA